GCCCGTTCATGCATGGCGCCCACTGTAGCAGCCTACGAATATAATACACGGGCGAGGTGCGCGGCAATGAATACGTGCGTGTGTGAGTGCAACAGTGGGGCTGGCAAAAGAAACGATTTTTCCGCCTCGCTTCGTCGATTTCGGGCCCACACCGTCTCGCGCACTCCGCGGTGAGTCTCTCAACAAATGCATGCACGCACAATCACACAGCGAGGGAGAACAAGAAGAAGAAGGCGAAGAAAGAAGTGGAGTGGAAGGAAGACTCAGCGAGGCGCAGGCAGCCACAGGTGAGACCAAATAGCAAAAATAACAACAAAACAGAAGCAAGACAACGCCAACTGACTTAACACTCTCAGTTATTCGCGGGTGTTAATGTGTGTCTGCGTGTGTGTGTGGGGTAATTTCCCTTCCCCCGCCCACGGAGCGGATGGCGCCACACCACGCCGGTGGCGGCTGGAGAGGCCGCGAACGGCAAGCAGCGTGAATGAAGGGGGATGGGGAGAAGCGAGTAAATGGAGGAAATACGCACGTCATATTAAACCCAACAAGCGATGTCAGGAGAAAACACACAAACAAAAACAAATCATGCCGATCACACGGCGGCTCCCTCTCCTCCTTCCCGGCAGCTCTCTTGGCGCCTTCACACACTGCGGCGCTTGCGCAAAGCCTCACCACCTCCATACGACTGTGCACATAAGCAAATTAAGTACACACACGCATGCATGTGTGTGTGTGGGTGTTCATGCACATATATATTTGCATAGTCTGAGAAAGGTGGAGGTTGGTGGACACACACGTTTCCTTGCACGCAAGCGACGCCTGGAAGTAAGAGCGCGGTCAGAAGAAGGCGAGAAGCAGTGAGGAAGGCGAGGGACAAAAATTAAGTGGTGTCCTTCACTCCCTCCGGCGGTCCTGAAACCACACACACACACACGACGACCTTGCCGCACATGAAGTCGATAATGATTACCTACACGATGAAACAGGAAAAAACCACAAAAAAGCCAAGGTATATATATCTATTCTATATATATATATATATATATATATATATATATATAT